ATAAAAAGTAGGTGGATGGATATGGTCAGGAGAAGAGAAATGTTTCATGTTGCCACCCAGTAGTATCTAACGCTCTCAAAACCTTTGGCGGTAGGTTCACCGACTGCATTTTCTGGAGGCGAATTCCAGCGCTCGATAGCGTTGATTCGGGGTAAGTTCAATAACTAATGGACCCGTTCTCTGGTGTGCACTGGCCTCCCAGCTTTAGCTGGATTGCGTAGGTGAGGTTGTCAACCGCTTGCCGACTAGTCAGGTAGAATACATTTCGACCCTTCATACGGCTGCATCAAACGTTACCTGTTTATTCAATACGTTGCGCACCATTGGTGGAGAACAAGTTTTCCAACTTTTTCGGTGCCATCATTGAATCGTAGAGAAGTGAGCGAACCCTAGTCAGCCCATGAGACTCCGAATCATTTTAGCTTTGGTGCGTGTCGTTTCGCGACGATGTTTTCCGAGGATTCGTCGCAATTGCAGTGACGGCGGCAACATCCTACCCAGTAGTTGTCTAAAAGCCATTTAAAACTCCGACGCTGCGTCCGCAATCTCGTCCGGTGGGAAATTCTAGTCATTTACCACACCAGTGGACGGCGTGACATTTGTGCTAATTTGGTGTGTCCTTGGTTCGAACAATTTTCACTTCAATTGTTCGGTTTTTCGTCGAGCTTGGCAGTTTAGTTGCAAACGTTTCGTCACCATGCGAGGTAGCATCGCCATTGCAGGGATATGTGGGGTGCCAGATTGCACTTAAGCGTTACAAATCGGGAGAAGCAAAATTAGCACGAAGAGTTGTAATAAATACTAAGGTGTGAGAGAAGATTTGTATCTGCGAACCAAGCGCATTCAGTCGGTGCTCGAACTCTCTCACGGTGTGTGCCAACACAATGTCTTTAGGTAAGGCATTCTAGGCGGTGTGTGACAGTAACTGTCAGTCACAGTGATCCATCTACCGTTATCAGTGTTGTTTTCAGGTACTCCATTGGGTTCACTATTGTTTTCCTGGCTGATCGAGTGCTTTGTGATCTTCATCGGCCTGCAATTTGCTTTTCTAGACTTATTTCGTTTGAATTTCACAATATGATAATAAGCGGGCTTACTGAGCTCGGGATCGTGCCCGTCGATAACTTGGCCATCAACCTCATCTGCCGCGAGCAAACCCTTCTGCACCAGATGAGCGCCAGGCAATTTTACTTGTGACCCTAAACCAAGAGTTATAAAAAGCCTGAACTACCTCTGATGAAAGGGCCAAAAGAAATGAGCCAATCATTGACCTTAACTGACCTCCAAAATTGACCATAAGCGGTCCCTGATCGGGTGGTTTTCACATGATTTACAGGTGCTCTACTTCCATTAAGCCAGGACTCATTCTGATGGCGCCCAGTTTCGGGTCCACTGTTCCCATTTCTTGTAGTTGATGTTCAGCGCCATGCCAATCTGCGAAGTAGAAAAAGCGAAGTTACTTTTGGTTATACCTTTTGCATATATCCTGGTATGCACTGCAAGTTGCTTAGTTTCGGAAGTCATGGATAATAGATTACTCCTACCCAGTTACGCATCACTAAGATCATTGGGATATGACCGTCCTTGAGTTGGATTGCTCTTATCGTCAGGCCTGGTTCAAAGTTTCCTGATGTTTACTGTTCCCTTTACATGATGGAACTGTTGTGTCTCTTGTTATTGATGTGTGCACTCCCTTTGCACAGTTTAAAGTTCCTTTGTCCATGGGTTGCTGTAGACGATTTTTTTTCTATGCTAGTTCAGCCAAGGGGAATATGGTGATGCGTGACTTCAACCTTCCTAGTGTCTATTGACGAAGTTTCTCAAATGGCGCTGCGCAAAAGAGGTATTACCCGTGATCTATTCAACCTAAATTTGCAAGTGCCCTTACATCAGTTCAATAAGCTGTTCATTAGGCTTATTAAAGTCCGCTTTTCTACTACTTCCGATTTTATGTTCGCAATATCATTTGGTTTGGCCGACGAATTTGTTACCGGCTCACTTTCGGTGGCTGCTGATCCCTTGTACCTATCTTTCTAGGTTTCTGTCATTAGATCATAAAGAATGCATTCTTCTCAGCCCGAATATTTGCTTTATCGACCTTCATATAATCAGATTCAAACCACCAATTAGTTTTGCACTATGTTAACAGTTGTTGACATCCATATAGCTTGGAACAAATTAAAACCTTTCCTCCGAACTGTCTATTTCTCATATTTCGGTTCCGGTAGGAAAGCGAGCAATAGCTAGGCCACCGTAGTCTTATACAACTACCGATAAAATGTCGAATATGCAAGCGAATTCGTTTATCATCTATACTGATCACAATCTGTGGTACAGCTATTACGTCATCAGAATAATAGCAACAAGACTGGGCCTTAACGTGGTGCGACGGTTTGCGTGCTTCTGACCCATTGAGCTATACTGGTTGATGTCTCTGGGCACCTTGAGAGCTACTCCTACCAGGTTGGTCAATGGTGAGAGGTCAGATACACTCAGTCTCCTGGTCCTCCAGGTTGGGGTTTGAAATGGGATGGCGTCCATTTCTGTGAAACTAAATCATTGCCATCTCCCTGCTGCCTTTCGGACAGGCTTTTGAGCCAAAGGCTTTGGATGAGGACCCTAATCGTCCTCCTGTCTAGGTTTGGGCGCCCTGGCAGTATCTCAGCCCACATACAACCATGACATTTTCTTCAAACATAAACTTCATCCTGCATCGGCCGTCGCACAGATTATCAAGGGTCGCCTTATCTGCTGCATACAGCAGGGCGGATAAGCGAAAACATGCTACTGCTGGCGCCTCCCTTCTTTCTTTCCCACCAGTTTCTCTTACTCCCATCCCGACCCCCATTATTAACCTTTCTATAATTCCCAGCTTAATTGACAGCAACCGAGGTACCACTGGAGTAGAACCATCAGCAGCCACCATCCCACCGCACCTATCGGACGCCTATCGGTAATAGTCCCCTATAAGGTCACGTTATCCCGTTTCCATATCGACATCCAACGTTAGCACTCTAAGACAAATAGGTCAACAGGCTTCAATCGCACGCACCTTGGACACACTGGGTATTGATGTCTGTTGTGTGTCCGAAACTAAGATCAATGATCCTAACGGGGTTATTGAATTAACTGCACCCGGCTTATCCTCTCGTTATTGGTTGCACGCATCCGGAGATGCCGATGCAGCACTCACGGGTCAAGCTGGTATAGATATCATTTTAAGTTCCAAGACTGTGCTATCGTTGGTTGATTGGATTCTGGTGGACAGCCGTTTATGTGCAGCCCGTTTCACGACATCAGCTAAGGTTGATTCACGAAGTAGTGCAAAACGCTGTTGGTTTGTGATTTCCGCTTATACTCTCACCGACTGCAATTCTAATGCTCTCAAGGATACATTCTATCATGAACTGAACGCGCTACTACGCATTGCTACTAGTTCAGATATTATAGTACTTGCAGGGGATATGAACGCACAAGTAGGGCGTCTGAGCACTTCAGAAGCTCAGCTGGGTGGTAATTATAGGCTTAACTCCGAACGGACAGACAATGGTGAGCGTCTGCTGCAACTGTGTGCGGCGCACCAGCTGTACCTTAGTAGCACTGTTTGTAGACAGTGGGCGCCGAAGTGCCACTTGGCGTCCTCCTGTAGGTGGCCAGCGATGGACCCAAATTGATCACATTGCCATACGTTACAGATGGCGTGGTTCCATCCTGGATTGCCCCTCGTACTGAAGTACCTTTGTCGACTCTGATCATGCCTTGGTACGCTGTCGTTTCTCCATGAACTTTACCGGGAGGCGCACCAAGCGTCCCATCAGATTGGCAACGGAGAAATTGTCTCAGCCCTCGGTCAGGCAAGCCTATCAAGAGCCGCTGCGTATCGAACTTTCGCTGTCTTGTTCTAATGATACTGAGCTTCAGTGGAATAGGATCTCGGCCGCCATGCACGACACAGGAGCATCTACTTGTGGCACTATCCATCATCACCACACTAGCCACTGGATATCCGAGAGGTCGATGAACCTGTTGGAATCTAGAAGACACCTCCCGGCTGGCTCTGAACGCAATGTGACCAGACGGGCTATTAGGGGTGAACTAAAGCAGAGCCTACGTGCTGACAAGGAAGCCTGGTGGACCAGTAGGGCTCAAGAAATGGAGGAGGCAGGAGCATTTGGCAATTATCGCAAGCTTTTCCAGCTAATCCGCACCACTGGTCCCAGGAAACCAGGCATCATTGAGCCAATTGGAGATAGCGCGGGTGCTCTGATACACATTAAGGAGTGCCGTATGGCTCGTTGGCCGAATCACTTTCAATCTCAGTTCAACTGGCCCCCTGCTCCGGACCTCTTCCTACTCAGGTGATACAGGACGAGCCATGGGCGGTTAGTTTAGAGCAGGGTTTCCCAACCTGGGGGTAATTACCCCCAAGGGGGTAAAATTGCATTTTCCGAGGGGTAAATACCGATAATTGGATTTGGTCACAAATCAGTCGCGAAATAAGCTTAATAACGAAATCACACATTGCAACTAGCTCAGCATTTTTAGTTAGCCATCAGTCAATGCAGGTACTACGGCATGGCGCCTTTGTCGACTGTCACAACTGCTGCCATGTTTTCGAATAAGCCAGTCGTTCACCGGGTCGAATAACGGGATGGATAGCAAACTATCGTTTCAGCACTGGTCAAAGTACCAGTTATGTTCACAGGTGAATGTTTGACAGTAGGAACGGCGAGAAAGGGTGATTAGTGTTCACAAGGTATGAATACAGAATGGTGTCGGGAAAATGTCGAGGAATAACGTGGAACGGAGGAATGAAACACATGTTCATGTTTGATTAGGAATCAGACACGATGGGGTCAAGAGAGGACCTGAATCGGGATAACGGTAGGCGTTTGAAAGGGCAGAGAAACGATACAACATAGAATCAGCAGATTGGACGCCAGTGACCATTAGATGTTATGTTGATCACTTTCATGGGCAGTTGTTTTTGACGAGAAGTCATGGCAGGTGAGCATTTTCATTCAGTGGCTTTGATGCCGACAGAAATATATTTGTCTGCGAACGTTTGCGATAATGTCACCTGCATGGAATAACGAGATTAATTTCTACAAATGATAGATATCTATAACATCTACCTACTTAATTGTTTGCAGGGAATACGTCTTCCAGAAAAAGCGGTCCTACAAAGAAGCATTTCTGCAGTGGGGCTTCACTAACTTCGCTGATAAAAATGTTGGGAAACCTCAGTGCGTTTTGTGCAGCAAAGTGCTCACGGCGGAGAGTATGAAACCTAGTAAATTGAAAGAGCACTTCGAACGAAGCCATGCCCATTTGATAGGAAAAGATATTACATTCTTTAGAAGGAAAGAAACTGCGCTAAAACTTTCGCGCCTGGATACATCGAGCTCCTTTTCTCAGGCAAATGAGGCTGGCCTTGAAGCTTCGTATCGCATTGCGCTTCGAATCGCCAAAAACAAGAAACCGCATACCATAGGAGAGGACCTCATCAAACCTTGCATAATGGATGCGGTTAAGCTCGTTCTTGGAGAACATCATGCGGAGAAGATTAATATGATATCACTTTCGAACAACACCATCAAAAGTCGTATCGAGGACATGAGCAAACAAATTTTGAACACGGTGCTCAACGAAATAAGATCAAGTCCCTTCTTTGCAATCCAGTTAGATGAGTCGACCGACGTAGCGTCCTGTTCCCAACTACTTGTGTATGTTCGGTACCTTAAAGGTGATAACTTCAAAGAAGAGTACTTGTTCTCAGAATCCTTGAGCACGACTACGCGTGGCGAAGATGTCTTCCGAATAGTAAAGAAGTTCCTCGAGGAAAACATGCTACTGTGGTCGAAGTTAGTGGGTGTCCGTACAGACGGAGCACCAGCCATGTTGGGCGTCCGTTCCGGACTCCAAACATTGGTCAAAAATGTTGCTCCGCACGCTACCTTTAGTCACTGCATCATACATCGTTATCCTTTAGCAGTGAGCACTCTTCCACCTGCTTTACTTGACGTGTTAACCAAAGTAGTAAAGATAGTAAATGTCATCCGCGGTAGTGCGACCCACACAAGAATCTTCAAAGAGTTGTGCAATGAATTTGGAGGCAAATTCGGCGTGCTACTATCGCACACAGAAGTGCGTTGGTTGTCACGAGGCAGGGTGTTGCACCGAGTGCTTCGGTTTCGAGAGGAAATTGCAATCTTTCTTCGAAGAAAAGAGATGCATAAGGGTATGGGAAACGAGTTACATGTTATTATAACGGACAGCGTGTTTATTTCGAAATTTGCTTATCTTGCTGATTTCTTTGGAGAACTCAATGCGCTTAACCTCAGCCTGCAAGGGAATATGATGAACATTTTAGTCGTTCAGGATAGAGTAGCCGGTTTCCTTCGCAAACTGCAGCTTTATCAGCGCTCGGTTGATGTTGACGACTTGGCGATATTTCCAGAACTAACGACGGTGCTCGTTGAAAGAAATGAAAAATGCGCATTCACGAATGAAATATCTTGCCACTTGTCATCAGTGATGAATTCCATCAGCAAATATTTTCCTGATTTGGAAACTCGCCAATTAAGTGCCTAGGTGCTAAGACCGTTTACAGTAGCTGAAGGAATATTTCCAGATACTGAATTTGAAATCAAGGTACAATTCCTAGGAATGCGCGAGGACAGCGGATTGAAGGTAGATTTACAAAGCACGCAACTAGTAACATTTTGGGCAAAGATAGGTGAAGAGTATCCATTACTGTCGGAAAGCGCATTGAGAATATTGATCCCATTTGCAACAACTTATAAATGTGAAAGTGCATTTTCCACAATGATGGTAATGAAAACAAAAGCAAGGAATCGAATGAACTTGGAGCACGACTTGCGATGTGCATTGGCCGAAACTGCACCAAATTTACCAGAAATTGTTACCACCAAACAATACCAACCGTCTCATTGATGTATATCGCCTCTTGTTTGCATAGAATTTTGTATTAAAAGTACTGTTTTCTTTCGTTTATTTGTCGAGGGAGATTCCGGATACCGATCACTTCTCGTACTTAAGTCGGATAATTATGTAGTGAGAAGGGGTCTTTCCTTCAATTGCATGAGCACGTGAAACTACATATGACATTTGTTTTTGAGCTTTAGAGCGAAATGTGCAATAATTATTACGTAGTAGTCTTTCGAAAGTTTGGGGGTAAAAGTCTGGTGGGCAACCCCTTTGTGGGTAACGGCGCCTAAAAGGTTGGGAACCACTAGTTTAGAGCCTTCGTCGGAGGCCGATGTCCGAAACGCGATCACAGCCATTAATCGTTTTCCTGACGCTGGCCCGGATTCCCTCCAACCTGCACTATTTAAGGATAATGGTGAGGTCCTCTGCAAAGCACTGACCTCCCTATTCGAATGTATCTGGAAGGAAGAGATTGTCCCGGTTAATTGGAACGAATCGATTATAGTGGCAACATACAAGAAGGGCAGTCGCACAGACTGTTCTAACCACAGGGTTATTAGCCTAACGCCAGTTGTGACAAAATCATTGCCATCGAATCCCCTTTGTCGCCTCATTGCGGAACGGGAATCTCGGATTAGGGAATAGCAGGCCGGTTTCCGCTCAGGGTGTGGCTGTATAGACCATATATTCACTTTGCGGCAAGTGCTAGAGCAGCGCCACGCGTACCGCAGACCGACAATAGCTGTGTTCCTCGATTTCAGGAGTGCGTTTGATTCAGTCGATCGCTCGATTCTGTTCGAAATACTTGCGCGGAAAGGTGTTTCCACGAAATATATGAACATCCTTCGTGCTCTATACTCGAACACTACAGGCCGCGTCAGGGTCTACGGTGTCCTATCGGATAGCTTTCCGACCACAAGTGGCGTTCGTCAGGGTTGTCCGATTTCACCATTTTTGCTCAATTTCGTCATGGATTCTATCATGGAGTGTTGCCTGGGGAATCTCACGATGTAGGCGTTGAAGTGCTGCCTGGTGAAAGGTTAGTTGATCTAGATTATGCGGACGATATCGTCTTGCTTTTCGACGATGTTGGGGCGGCACAATCAACCCTGAATAGCCTGTCCAGAGTGGTCCCATTATTTGGTATGCACCTCGCATCTTCAGAGTGCAAAGTATTGCTGCAGGACCCCCAGCTATTGATGATCCCTTGACGCTTGCTAACGAGGAACTCGAGGTTGTTGATCATTTCACTTATCTTGGCAGCTTCATCAGCAATGATAGGCGATTGGAAACTGACGTCAGCTCACGCATTGCAAAGGCCAGAGCTGCCTTCTTGAACCTACGGCATCTTTGGCGACAGTTGGGAGTTTCCCTTCGTCTGAAAGATGGTGTATACAAGGCCACAGTGAGGGCCGCTCTGCTTTACGGTAGTGAGATTTCGCCGCTTCGGTCTGAAGATCTAAAGCCCCTTCAAGTCTTTAATCATCGTTGTCTGCGCTGCATTGCTTGAGTCGGATGGCACCAGCGTGTCCGCAACGATGATGTGTGTATGCGAGTACTAGGAAGTGATAATCATGCTAGCTCCCTCGAACAACAGATAGCACTGAATAAGTTGCGTTGGCTCGGGCACGTGCTACGTATGCCTGGTCACCGCTTACCTAAGAGGGCCTTGTTTACTCTGCCAGATGTAGGGTGGCGCAAGGCTCGAGGTGGACAGAAGTTGACTTGGCAGCGGCAAGTGAAGTCACTGATTACCAAACTGGGTGCCGTTGGTCCGTCTCGCCTTCCGGGCTGGAGTCCACATGACTCGCCTTGTGCTTGGCTCGAGACTTTACAGGACATGGCTCGCAGTAGACACCAATGGCGCGTCTGCTGCCGTCTCCTAATCGGATTGCCTGTTTAAAGTGTGTTTGGTGCTGAGTTATCTGCGGGGTAATGGCTGATTATGACGCGTGGCAGTGAAAGCCGCAAGGAAGCTGTCTCGCCGATGCCGTCTTATCTTTGCACGATAGCCAGCTGTTTGTGACGTTATGTTGTTAACACAAGGTGTAGGCGCCTTGACCCTGAATGTTTGCTTAAGGCATTAAGGTTTTCAGGTAAGTCCCCCTTCTCTCCCTCTTCTAATTCTCTATTTCATAGGATACTCATGGTTGTATGGCAGCGAAGCACCAGTTCAAATGGCTTATGTACTGCAGTTGATGATGATGATGGAATCATAGGAAAATAGGAAAACAGGATCAGAACAAGAAAAAAACGGGAAACGTTTTTGGGTTTGCTTTTCCATCGCAACGAGACTGGACCTTAACGTGGTGCGATGGTTTATGTGCCTCATTGATCCATCGAGCCATGCTGGGTGGTGCTTTTTGCATTTTCAGAGCCACTGATACCAGATTGGTCAATGGTTAGAGGCTTGACAGGCTCAGTCTGCTGGCCCTCCAGGTTGGGGCTTAAAGTGAGGGTGGCTCCTTACTCCATAAAACGGCCTCTGTAGTCCAGTGCCGGAACCCCGCTGCCTTACGGTCAGGTTTTTGAACCAAAGGCTTTGCTTGAGAACCCTAATCGTTCTCCTGTCTAGGCCTGGGCGACGTGACAGTATTTTGCTCACGCAATATAATGAACCTTTCTCCTAATAATTTATTGGTGCTCTCGCCGTCGCAGAGGATAATCAATGGCGTCCTATCTGCTGCATCAAGTGGAGTGGATAAGGGTTTGGATGCTACTGCTCAGGCCTTCCCGTCTTTTTATCCCCCTTCTTGCGCTTTTTCATCATTATCGTCCCGCTCCAACTTCACTTTTATCCCCCCAATTCTTGGCCCTCCCCCATCTTGCTTCAATAGTCGCTTGTCTTCTAGTTTCAACTCACACAGTCGCAGAACATCGCTCCCATACAGTCGAAAAGTCCATGTTCAACTAATCGGACAACGTCGGTTCATCCGTTTCACTTTTGAGTCTTCGCGTATTACTAAGATTGGCATGCCTCAACGTGCACACTGCTACAGCTTGGCCAACAGGCAGCACTTGCCCACACACTAGAGGCCCTATCGATCGATATTTGC